AAAAAAAAAAAGTTAAAAGGAATATACTTACTGTTCTTTGAACTTCTTTTGAAAATAACTTAATTAATGATCTTTAAAGTTTTTGAGGTTCACCTGAGATCCTCTCATAGCATACTGGTTGAAAATCATTGGCACAGGGAATGTTGTGGCTGTTTGATTTGTTGGGACCATCCCAAACTCCACATCAGCAAAACTCTCCACTGGTGTAGCACTCTCAAGTTCCTTTTCTTTTGTGTTCACAACTGGACTGAGAGGTCTAACTTTTGGCCTGTCTTGGCTTTTGGCATCACTAAACAGTAATAATTTTAAACCTTCTAAACCCACTGTTGATTATTGGGAAAAACTAATATTCTATGACATAAAGCACTTTTTTATAGCTAATTTCAGGTTTCCCTGTTGTTTGGAAGCAGAAGTCTGTATTTTCTTTTTCTTTTTCTTTTTTTTTGAGACAGAGTCTCATTGTCGCCCTCAGTAGAGTGCTATGGCATCACAGCTCACAGCAAATTCAAACTCTTGGGCTTAAGTGATTCTCTTGCCTCAGCCTCCCAAGTAGCTGGGACTACAGGTGCCTGCCACAATGCCTGACTATTTTTTTTTTGCAGCCAGTCCGTATTTTCTATATGAATCCAAACTTATCAGTGGGACTGATTTGGATTTGGTTTTGTTTGCAGTGTTATCACTGTCTCTGTAATTATTCTTTGTCCACATTTGTAAGGCAGAATAATTTAAGCTATTATTTAAGTTTAATTCTAGGAATGACTTAGCATGTCAGTCTGTGGGAATTTTTTGTAAAACTGTTTGTTGTTGGCGTGTAGGGGTGGCCATAGGAGTGGGGGCCGGGGCACTGGTGCTGGCGGGTGGTGTCAAGGCCTGCTAGGGGCGAAGGCACCCTCCACAAAACCTTTTCAGCCAGGTCTGGATATGCCTGACCTTGTGAGGTAAGAACTTCAGCGGAAGCCTTCCTTCCTTAATAAAGCCTCGTGGTAGAACATCTTTTAAACTCATTGGAATGGAAGGATGCAAGCTTTACCTTGGAACCCAATGTGAATGGAAGAGATCCGTCATTATGCAAATAATATGACATTCTGAACAGACAGTAAAAACAGCTCTCATCTCAGAGAACCCAGTGCTTGTGTCACAGTATGAAAAATTAGATGCTGGGGAACAGCATTTAATGAATGAAGCCTTGCAGCCAACCAGTGATCTCTGTGAACCCATTACCTTGCATTCCAGATCAGATTGGATCACTTCTCATCCTGAGGCTCCTGAAGACTTTGAACAGTTTTTCAGTGATCCTTGCAGAAAGACTCCTTCTCCAGAGAAGCACAGCATTTGTATACAGTCCATTGGATCTTTAGGCAACACCAAGATTATCAGGGAAGAATATATTAAATGGCTCAAGGGCTCCTGTGAAGCTTTTTTTAATGGCCTGACAGTACAACTCCTAGAACCAGTTCCTGTTTCTGCGACAAGGTGTCCCTTTAGAGTCAATGATAACACACAGATTCATGCAGGGCACATTCTGAAGTTCTTAAAGAAGAAACCTGAAGATGCCTTCTGTGTTGTGGGGATAATAGCGATTGATCTTCACCCAAGAGACTCCCGGAATTTTGTCTTTGGACAGGCCTCTTTGACAGATGGTGTGAGGATATTCAGTTTTGCCAGGTATGGCAGTGATTTTTACAGTTTTTGCCATGAAGGCAAAGTGAAGAACCTCCAGAAAACATCTTCAAATGAGTATTCTGTTTTTGATAACTATTATATTCCCGAAATAACTAGTGTTTTGCTGCTTCGATCTTGTAAGACTTTAACCCACGAGATTGGACACATATTTGGACTGCGACACTGCCAGTGGCTCACGTGGCTAATGCAAGGTTCCAACCACTTGGAAGAAGCTGACCGGCCCCCTCTAAACCTTTGCCCTATGTGCTTACGCAAGTTGCAGTGTGCTACTGGTGTCAGCATTGAAGAAAGATAAAGCGCTGGTGAGATGGATCCATGATGAATCTGCTGACAAACTTGGAATAACTCCGAAACACAGTCTGGATGATAGTGGGAATTTAACAAAACTCGTTGAAGCTTTCAATGAGTGGACAGAGTGGATAATGAAATGCCGTGCTGTTCTCCAAAAATAAGGACCTTCAATTAGGAGTAATTAAAATATACTTGCACATTCTGCTTTCATTTGGGTGGAGTACTACATTGGAATAAACTATTTACTTATTCTGTGCTGTGTCCAAGTAACAGGACAGAACCTTTTTTAAAGCATCTGAATTGAAATGAGACTCATTTTGAATAATAAACATTCTATAAACTGTCAAAAAAATAAACCTTTTTGTTGTTTGTTAAAATTTTATTCTCTGTCATCTTGGAGCCTGTGGTTGTCTGCTGGGAATAGGACTTCTAAAAGGCAAATATGTCTGGAAGGCTGTGGTCTAAGGCCGTTTTTGCTGGCTCTTAAGTGGGGTCTCAGGAGCCAAAGAGAACACATATTCGTCTTAAAATTGGAAGTGTTTATTCCTCAGATGAGGCCGAATTCTATTTGAGCAAAAGATATGCTTGGTCACACAATGTAAAGAACAACACAGTGACTCCTGGCAGCAAGGCAAACAAAACCAGAGTGATCTGGGGAAAGGTAAGTCAGGTCCAGTGGCATGGTTCATGCCACATTCTGAAGCAGCCTTCCTGCTATGGCCATTGGACACAGGATCCATGATCCTGTACTCCTCAAGATTTAAATTAATAAAATGTAGATAAACAAAAGTGGATATATCCTAAAAAACAAAAATAGATGTTATTTCTTTCTTTCTTTTTTTTTTTTTTGAGACAGGAGCCTCAAGCTGTCCCCCTGGGTAGAGTGCCATGGCATCTCAGCTCACAGCAACCTCCAACTCCTGGGCTCAAGC